AGTTGAGAGGAGAATTCTTTGGGATAACCTGAAAAGAATTGCAGATAGTGGTGGTGGCAGATGGGCTGCAATGGGTGATTTTAATGCGTATTTAGAGGAGGGGAGAAAACTGGTGGATCTGGTTTGTGTTGGGAAAGTATGAAGGAATTTGGAAGTTTCCTTAGTGAGAGTGGTCTCTCAGATTTAGGGTTCTCTGGCCCTAAGTTCACTTGGAAGAGAGGAGCTATCCAAGAGAGGATTGATATACTAGTGTTAATGAGGATTGGCACTTGGAATTCCCTAATAGAGCCATTGTTCATCTTCATTTCCATGGCTCGGACCATAGGCCTTTAATCCTTAAGGATGAAAACAGAAATGGAAACTCAAGAGGCCATAAACCTTTTAGGTTCCTAGCAGCTTGGTTGACCAGTACAAGTTTTGGGGATGTTGTGGATAACTGCTGGAAGAAAGAGACTGAGTGGATTAAAGCTAAAGACAAGTTTCATAATGAAGCTTCTGTTTGGCATAATTCCAGATTTAAAGAGGACCAAAGAAGGAAGTACTTGATTCAAAAGAGGATTAAAATGGTGGATATTCAGTTGAGTAGGGGTCCAGATGAGGCCCTGGAGAGACTTTATAGAACCTTATGGAAGGAGTTAAACACTATTTACATTCAGGAATAACTCACCTAGTTCCAAAGGTCTAGATGCAATTGGCTAGCCTTTGGTGACAGAAACTCTAAATTCTTTTATGCTAGCACTGTGGCTAGAAACAGGAGGAATAAGGTATTGGCTGTTAAAAAGGATGATGAAATTTGAGTGGAGGATCCAGAGATTCTTAAACTAATGGCCATTGATTACTTTAAAGGGCTGTATGTAGAGGAGAACCAGATCACCAATAATCTGTGTGGGAACCATTTTCCTGTGATAGATAATCTGAATTGGAGAAGAATTGGCCTAACTCCAAGTGTGGATGAAATCAAGAGCACTATGTTTAAGATGCATCCTTATAAAGCCCCAGGGGATGATGATCTTCATGCTATTTTTTCCAATCTCAATGGGAAAGAGTAGGGAATTTGGTGATCAAGCTTGTTAGGGATGTGTTTGAAGATCCTGAAAAAGTGGCTAGGGTTAATCAGACTCTAATTTGTCTTATCCCCAAGGTTGAAAACCCAGAAAGGATAAGCCAATTTAGACCTATTAGCCTGTGCAATGTAGTCTATAAAGTTATTACTAAATAGACTGAGAAATCATATGGGCACCATAATTATGCCTAACTAGTGTAGTTTTGTGAAAGGAAGGCATTCTTCAGATAATATCATAATTTGCCAGGAGATTTTTCACTCTATGAGGTCAAAAAAAGGGTAAGAGAGGCTAGATGGCTATTAAAGTGGACTTGGAAAAGGCTTATGACAAGATGAGTTAGATGTTTCTGGAGGAAACCTTGATCTTGACAGGTCTGGCCGAGAATATGGTGAAACTTATCATGGCTTGTATCACTTCCTCTACAATGGATGCCCTGTGGAATGGTGAAAAATAGAAGAATTTAAACCATTGAGAGGTATTAGACAAGGAGATCCCTTATCTCCTTATCTATTTGTCCTATGTATAGAGAGATTGGGACACATGATCAGTGCAGTTGTTGATCAAAAGGACTGGACTCCTGTGAAGCTGGGAAAGAGGGGCCCTCTAATATCACATCTGTTTTTTGCAGATGATCTTCTGATTTTTTCTGAAGCTAGGAGAGACCAAGCTGAGTTGATAACTAGTATTCTGGACCAGTTTTGTGAAGCTTCTGGACAAAAGGTCAGCTGCAAGAAAACGAGATGCTTCTTCTCCAAAAATGTGAACCACACTAGACGTGGGGAATTAAGCCAAATCCTAAAGTGTGGTATCACTGCTGATCTAGGAAAATACCTGGGAATCCCTATCCATCACAAGAGAGTGAACAAGAATACATTTAGATTTATTCTTGATAAAACAAATAGTAGGCTAAATGCTTGGAAGAAAAGGTCCCTCTCCATGGCTGGAAGGGTGGTGCTAACAAAATCTGTGCTTGCTGCACTCCCTAGCTACTCCATGCAAACGTCCTTAATCCCTGTTGGAGTTTGTGATGCAGTGGAACAGAAGATGAGGGGCTTTGTGTGGGGATCAAGTATGGAAAAAAGGAAGATTCATGCTACCTCCTGGGATGTGGTTTGTAGAGCTAAGAAAGCTGGAGGACTGGGAATTAGGAACTTGAGGTTGACTAACAGAGCCTTCTTGATGAAAATTGGGCATGGTATGCTCACTCACAGGAATGAATTATGGGTTCAAGTGTTAAAAAATAAATATAAAGTTGGAGATGCCTAATTCCTAATCTTCCAAAGAAATCAGGTGGTTCAAATCTTTGGTTGGGACTGTCCAGGATCTGGCCTATACTGTATGAAGGTTCAAGGATTTTAGTGGGAAATGGCATTGGAACTTCTTTCTAGAAGGAAAAATGGTTGTCTATTGGACCTCTCATAGACCATACCATTCAGGAAATTCCTCCAGAATTGCTGGATATTGATGTTGCTCATATGGTGGATTCCAAGGGGAATGGAAATGGGAGGAGTTTAAAAATGTGATTTCCCAGGAGGCTTGGAACCTTATTAAAGGAGTTTGTCCTCTTAATCATGATGAAGGTGATGACAGGGTGATTTGGGATAGCTCTCAGGATAGGAGTTTCTCCATTAAATATGCTTTCAGCCTGTTGTGTGATGAAGACATCAGTCATCAACATGGTCAATAGGGTAGAGTTTGGGAGTGGAATGGCACACCAAGAGTTAAAACTTTTCTCTGGATGCTTCTTGGAGAGAACGTCTAGCATTTTCCCCAGATGCCTTAGTGCTCATGAGAGTTGTTTGCATGTTATAAGGGACTGTAGCTGGTCAAAAAAATTTTGGATAAATTTCATTAAACCAGATATATGGTATGATTTTCTTTCTCTTCCATTGCAATCTTGGTTGAGTACTAATCTGGGGGGAAATCATTGTATGATGGAGGCGTGAATGGAAATATTCTGTTTGGTCTTGTTTGCTGGTTTATATGGAAAGAAAGGAATAGGTTTATTTTTTAGAATGTAATATCAAAGGAGGTTGAAACAGGAAGATTGGCTTGCTCTTACCTTTCAAATTTTGTAGAAGCTTGTGCTCTTTATAGGAAAGCTGGGCTGCAGAATAGTATGTGGAGTGAGGTTCTGGTGCGTTGGAGCCCTCCTCTTTGGGATGGATAAAAATTAATACGGGTGGTTCATCCAAGAGAGGAATTTTGCGAAGTGGGTGTGGTGGAGTGTTGAGAGATGATGCTGGTAAATGGCTAAAAGGCTTTGCAAGGAATCTGGGAGATAGTTCATCAGTGAAAGCAGAAACTTGGGGAATTTATTTGGGATTACAAATAGCCTAGGACCTTGGGTATATAAGAGTCATAATTGAAGGAGATTCACAAGTGGCCCTTAACATGATAAGAGAGGGAGTTGCAGACATCCATCCTCTAGTGGGGCTGGTTAATAAAGTCATCAATTTGAAGAACCTTGATTGGCAGGTGGAGTTTGCTCACATATTCAGAGAAGGGAATAGGGTAGCTGACTGGCTTGCTAACTTTGCCACTACTCAAGGGTGGGAGACAGTGTTGCTTGATTATCCTCCTAAGGGTTGTTTTAGTTTATGGTGCAACGATGTTAGAGGAATAGCCTGGCCTCGTTTGATTAGAGGCTTGTAGTTTGCTTTGTATTTCCTTTGTTTTCAAAAAAAAAAAAAAAAAAAAACAAGTATGTCTTTGCCAGAATTTACCTGATGAATCAGAACAGTGGAAGGTGTCATTCCAGGCATAGTGTTTACTTCTATAATCAAAACCTACAAACATGGGAAGTTATCAAGGAGTAAGATGATGATAAGTCATTGAAACACAATTCCTTTATGATAAAATGAAGTGATTGTTTTCATTTCAATGAGTTGATGATGATCATATTCTATTAAGAATGGACTCTCACAACAAACTGCAATGCAACGTTTACTAGTAGATCAGCATATATTAGCAAAAAAATAAAAAATAAAAAATGGAATGTTACGTTCAACAACTGAAGTTTATTATAGGAATACTAATGAAACTATTTTTAAAACCGAAGTATGTGATAGTTCAAAATATATATCAACAGTTTTCTTAAGCATTCTAAGAAGGTTGAAACGCATTTTGAGTCACATGATGCATGCCTTACGCTAAGGCTATGATTGTTATGAGTAGATGGAAAACAAAGAGGTGAGAAACAAGGGGAAAAAAAATGAAAACGGAGTGGGATAGATCATATAAATTTTTTTATTTTCATTCATTGCTGTTTAGTAGAGGGGAAAATCACTTTCATCTCACTTTCATACTATTTGAGTGGTCAAAATTTTTGGAGTGGAGTATAAATGTGTTGCACTCAACCTTCATCCTTGCTGATTTTGTTGTACCAAGCAGGATGAAGTAGTTTTCATTACAAATTTTGTACCTCCCCATTTTCCAGCTATTCAAAAGAGAATAGCATTAAGTTTCGTGTTGAATAAATAAATAAAATTTAACATCAAATTCAAAGAGACAAACTCATAAAACAAATAGGAGATAGAGAAGGGAGAAAACATGTCCCGTCAAGGAATTCTACAATGAGAAAATAGTAGACAAAATATTATAATATGAACATAATTACAAAAGGTGACTTATTTTTTTTTGGTTGATAAGTTAAAAGTAAAGATTTAAGTTTAATAAAATTTCCAAGAAACGTGTTTTTTTTTTTTTTCTCCATTTACTCTGTTATCATTTCATCAGTAAGCTTACTCTAACAACAATTACATTAAGTATATTGTGCAACTAATGCACTCAAGACGAATAATACAAAAATGCAACATTTAAAACCCATAATATAATCCTTAATGAGAACTTCCGATTCAACGGTTAAATTAATAAATTTTAACATTAATAATAAATTATAAGAGTGTAAACATGTAAAGATTTCAAAGAGGCCTCTCTGCTAATTTTATGTTTGTTGTTTTTGAGTTTCTCATCAAATCCAAATGGTGAGACACCCTTTGTCGAAGAGTGCCAACAAATACCTCAGGAAATTCAGAAAATGGCCATATTCCCCTTACAAGACCTCATGGCACCGCAACTTTTGTGAAAAACAAGCCATGCAAATCCTCAAACAATCAACCATTGAAATGGGTTCCTCCCAACAACCCCAAAGACTCAACCTTCACTACCCTTTTCTTCTCTCCACTCTTCTTGACTCCTTCAAAGCCTATAGCTGTGACCCTACTCCAAAAGCTTACTACTTTGTCGTCAAAACCTTAACCTACACCTCCCAGTTTCAGGACATTCCTCCTGTTCTCGACCACCTTGAACGCATGGAGAAGTTTGAAACACCTGAGTCCATCTTTGTGTACCTTATTAGGTTCTATGGTCTTGCTGACAGAGTCCAAGATGCTGTTGATCTGTTCTTCAGAATCCCCAGGTTCAGGTGCACACAAACTGTTTGCTCCCTGAACTTGTTGCTCTCATTGCTTTGTAGGAAGAGAGAGTTCCTAATAATGGTTCCCCAGATCCTGTTAAAGAGCCAGTATATGAACATTCGTATTGAGGAATCGACTTTTCGGGTTTTGGTCAAGGCCTTGTGTAAAATTAAGAGGGTGGATTATGCCATTAAGATACTGAATTGTATGATAGAAGATGGGTATAGTTTGGATGGGAAGATATGCTCTTTGATAATATCATCATTGTGTGAACAAAAGGATTTGACCAGTGTTGAGGCTTTGGTTGTTTGGGGAGGTATGAGGAAACTAGGATTTTGTCCTGGTGTCATGGATTATACGAATGTGATTAGGTTCTTGGTGAAGGAAGGGAGGGGCATGGATGCTTTGGACATTCTGAAACAGATGAAAGAAGATGGAATTAAGCCTGATATTGTTTGTTATACTATTGTTTTGAGTGGGATTGTTGCAGAAGGGGATTATGTGAAGTTAGATGAACTATTTGATGAAATGCTTGTATTGGGACTCATTCCTGATGTTTATACTTATAATGTGTACATAAATGGTTTGTGTAAGCAGAATAAAGTAGATGAGGCGCTTGAGATTGTTGCTTATATGGAAGAGTTAGGATGCAAACCGAATGTGGTTACGTACAATACTTTATTGGTTGCATTATGTGGAGCATGGGATTTAAGTAAGGCAAGGGGGCTAATGAAGGAGATGGTGTTGAAGGGTGTTGGGCTCAACTTGCATACATATAGGATCATGCTTGATGGCATGGTTGGTAAAGTTGAGATTGGTGAAATATGTCTTCTGTTGGAGGAGATGTTGGAGAAGTGTTTTTATCCTAAATCTTCAACATTTGATAATATCATATTTCACATGTGCCAAAAGGGTTTGATTACTGAAGCACTGGAATTGATGAAGAAAATTGTTGCAAAAAAATTTTCTCCAGGAGCCAGAGCTTGGGAAGCATTGCTTCTTAACTCAGGATCTGATTTTACATATTCAGAAACCACATTTGCTGGATTGTTGAGCCCAAAATAATCTGAGTTATCAAAGTGGCCAGATCTGATTTGGAACTTTATTGGGCTCTCTTTATATTTGGTTGAATAGCTGAAACCATATCCGCAGTTATCAAACTAGAGAGGCATGAAATCTTCAACCTAGCAAGTGGAAAGCAAGATCACTAATTGTGCTTAGTCACTCTTATTGCATAATCAATATTCGTGTACAGAAAGAAAAAACAAACATATTTTAACCTGGGATTTCATGTACAGAATCTGATTAGTTTTGGTGGAGGATTTACTCAGATCAAGGATTCTCGGTGTTGGTGGTAATGCATTCTATGAAAAGTGTTTAGAATTGAAATTTGGTCTGGTTTGTAGAATAACAACTTTTGAACTAAAACAATATGCAATTATTATATTTTGGGCATAATTTAATGGCATATTCATAATCAATATTCAACATTTTACCTCCAAAACAACGCAAACTAAATTAATAAGAAAAAAAACAGCTAAAGAGCTAATTCAATTATTATATTATACTTAGCTCAGCAAATAACAGTAATTTTTAGTTTAACAAAAAGAATAAAAAAAACACAAAACTAGCTTCATAATATATATCGCATAACAGAGTTAGACAGCTCAACTATAGTATCCAGCAAAATCAACCAGAGTTATGTGTTTTGAGGCCAAAACCATATTCATATTGAAACTCGGAAACTCCCCGGTGGAATTGAGAGTTTACCAATTTTATTAAAATTTACTTGAACTCATACGAGCTGGACAAAAACATGTGTATTGTCATGTTTTATGTCCTAGAATTGTAAACTCATAAGAGTTAAAGAGGTAAATCTAGAGTTTTACAACCATTGTTTGTTCTTGTTTTTGTCCTAAAATAAGTTTTGATATGTTTTTTTGGAGTGTAGATAAGTTCAGGCTTTCAGCAAATTGTGAATGGCTAGATAGTGAACCAAGCTTCAATTAATTTAAAGTTCCTAATGTGTGTAAATTTAGCTGAACATTCATTATTCAGCTCAGACATTCATGACCATAAATGTATGAAAATCTAGACACCATATTAGGATATATATTTCTGCATTAATGATTATGCATTTAATACTTTATAGTTTATTTATAATATTTTTCAAGTTATCTCTTTCTCAATTTTATGTTTAAAAGTTTAACTGAATCTGTAAAGAAAATTCATAAGATTATAGATTTAAAAATATTTTACCATATTATATATATAAGTATTTAATAATTAATACTACGTAATTTTTTTATTTTCAAAATACTTAATTAGTATTGAGTAATAAAAAAATAAAGTGAAATGTGATCGAGTTTGAACTTGACTATCCAGTGGTGGAGCCACGTACAGTATGGATGTGATATCGGTCCGGGCTGAATTTTAACAAATTGTACTTATTATATATAATTATATAATTAATTATAATTTGATCAGGGTTAAAATTATAATCGGGCCCGACTATAATTTGTAATTTGGCTCTATCTAAAATTTAAAATAGTTTTGATAAAAAATTTGGATAAGTTATATTAGGTTATGTGTTCAATTTTCACTTATATAAAAAAATAAATGGTTGTCAATGGGCTAAGAACATGTTTAATTGGTTAATGTATTTTTTAATGTCAATGGGCATTCACTGAAAAGAAGAACGATATTCCTTGCTTCGCGGTGCTCTTTTGAATTTTTATTTTGTCTCTTTGGTTGTCTAAACGTTTGCCTGTGTTTACTAAACCAAATATATGCAAAATTGAAAGTATACATGCGATTTCCAAAACAAAAACAAAAAAAGTATACACATGCACTTAATCAAAATTATGTGGTCACGAGCGGGTAATATGTGTTGGGTATGGCTCACACTTCACAGAGGCATGATATTGTTGTGGACCTCTGATTTATTGTAATTCTTTTTTCTTAGTAGTTTGGACTTGGACCCATGAATATAATACAGACAAGTTGGATAATCCGAGTGACTAGCAATGAGTGGTGGTGAGGTGAATATAATACAGACAAGTTGGATATAGCTTACATCGGGTGAATCAGGGTAAATCATTCTGTCGATTTTCTCTCCCTTTTTCTTTTCGTTTTCGATTTGTGTGTGTTGTGCGATTGTCGATTTCCAACATTTGGTATCAAGAGCTTTAGTTCTGCGACTAGGGGTTCCTGTGACAGATTGAGGTTTTGTGATTTGGGTTTTTCTTGGCGTAGAGAAAATTGCGAAATTGATCTGGAAAGGATGTTGACTGAACAATCACGGGTTGAGGTTGAAAAGTTCGGAGGAAAGAGGTTCGAGTTATGGAAGCTTTGCTCATTGACAAGGATGTGTGGTACGTGATCGAAGATGAGAAGCCATCGGTACCAACGATAACTGTCGGTGACGGAACGTCGAAGGAAGGCGAGTTGAAGGCATAGACTAGATACTATCGGAAGGCGCAAAGCCTAATTTGGTTATATCTAGCAGATAACGTTATGGTGAACGTAACTTCTGAGAAGAGCGCAAAGGATCTCTGGACGAAGCTGGGAGGTCTCTATCAAAGCAAGTCACTTGTGAACAAGTTGGTCTTGGGAAGGAGGTTGTATAATCTACGGATGAGCGAAGGTGATTCCTTTTCTACTCATTTAAATGAATATAATACTATTTGTGCACAACTTTCGTCTATAGATATCAACCTGGATAGGGAGGATAAAACCTACACTTTATTGTGTTCACTACCAAACTCTTGGGAGCACATTATTATTTCAATTGGTACTGGCATAAATAAATTATCGTTTAAGACGGTTGTTGTTGTCTTATTGTCCGAGGAGACAATAAGGGTAAGTTCTGAAGGTACCAATAATGAGGCTCTGGTCATTAGAGGGAGAAGTGTAGACAGATCAAAATCTGGAATAGAAAAATCGAGGGAAATGTCAAAGTCCCGTGATAAATCTAAAGTAAGGTGCTGGAGGTGCAAACAAGTTGGGCACTTGAGAAGAATTGCATAAACAAAAGCGTGGGTCTTGAGAAGCGGTATGATTCAATACCTTCAAGTTCTAGTGCAAAGAAAGATGATGGAGATAGTAGTGGGGATCTATACATGGCGTTTGACAGTCATAACGACTGTGATGACTGGATCATTGACACTGGAGCATCGTTTCATATGATATCTCATAGGGAGTGATTCTCCACCTATGAACCATATTTTGGCGGAGCAGTTATAAAAGGAGATGACAAGACTCATGCTATTATGGGGTGTGGGAAGATACAGCTGAAGATGAATGATAGAACAGTCAAGAATTTGCTGGACATGATGCATATTTCAGGGCTTACTAGAAATCTGATCTCTGTTGATAGTATGGAAAATGCAGGTATTAATTTTAGCAATGACAAGTATTCTTGCATGCTGACTCGGGGAGCTTTGGTTATTGCAAGAGGAGAATGCCATGGTAAACTGTGGAAACTACTGGATAACATAGTGTTCAGTGGTGAAAGCTACATATCTGAACAGGCAGAAGAGGACTCTATAATGTTATGGCATAGGAGGCTGAGGCATATTGAAGGAAAAGGTCTGGAGACTCTGACATCAAAGATGATGGTGGATGAAATTTTGAGTTGCTCTATAGGGTTTGGATTTTGCGATCATTTCCTGCAAGGAAAGCAAAATCAGGTGTCTTTTGACTCTATAGGAGGAAAAGCTGAGGGGATTCTGAACCTGATACACAACGATGTGTTTGGCCCAACACTTGTAGCATCACACGTAAAATCAAGGTATTATGTTTCTTTTACTGATGATTTTTCGAGATATGTGTGGATATATTTCTTGTGCACTAAGGATAAAGTGTTCGATAGGTTCTAAGAGTTCAAGGCTTTGGTGGAAAATCAGTTTGACCGAAGAATCAAGGTTTTAAGAACTCACAATGGAGGGGAGTTCTGTTCAACAAAATTTGATCAGTTCTGTGCGAGCAATGTGATTGCAAGGCAAAAGACTACGCCCTACTCACCTTAACATAATAGAATGGCAGAAATGTTGAATCGATCTCTCATGAAGAAAGCACGCAGTATGCTGAGCGGTATGGGCTTGGCAATTTAGTTTTGGGAGGAAGCAGTGGCTACTGCTTGTTATTTGAAGAACAGATCTTCTACATCGGTCTTGAAAGAGAAGACTCCATATGAAGAACTGTTTGGGAAGAGGACAGATGTATCTCATGTCAGAGTGTTTGGTTGTGAGGCATATGCGCATGTACCTAAGGAGAAAAGAAGCAAGCTTGACAGTAAATCAGAGAAATGCATTTTCATTGGGTACAAGGATGGCGTCAAAGGGTACAAGTTGTGGAATCCTGATACTCGAAGTGTAACTTATAGCAGAGACGTTGTGTTCAAAGAATCTAAGCCGAATGAGATTTTTTTGAAAGCTCCTGAAGAGCCACAACTATGGAGTTTGATGTGGGTTTGAAAGAGGATGCAATAAACTCATAGGTTAGAGTGGAAAGTTCAAATTCTGAAGTTGCTGAACATAATATGGTTGAAGATAAAGATTTTGAATCCAAGGCTGAAGTTGAAGCACCAATGTTGATGAGGTCCACAAGAGAAAAAAGACCATTTAAGAGGTATACACCTGAAAACTATATCCTTTGTGCTAGTGATGATAGTTGTGCGCTGAATATTACAAGTGATTGATCCAATTACTGTAAGACAAGCTAAGAACTCAGAGGATGACAAATAGTGGGAGGAAGTCAAGAAAGATGAGATGAAATCTCTGATGAAAAATCAAACTTGGAGAAGCTACCTGCAGACCGAAAGGCAATTGGTTGCAAGTGGGTGTTCAAGAAAAATGTTAGTGCCACTGGGGAGATTAAACACTGCAAGGCTCGGTTGGTTGCAAAGGGATATTCACAAACATACGAGATTGATTATGGTGAGATGTTTTCACTTGTTGCAAAATTAAATTCCATAACGCTTGTTTTGTCTGTAGCAGCTGCATATGACCTAGTGGTGGAGCAGCTGGATGTGAAGACGACCTTCCTTCATGGTGATTTGAAGGAGTTTATTTTTAGGAAGCAACCAGAGGGGTTCATAGTAACAGGCGAGATAGTCGGCAAGCTAAATAAATCTCTGTATAGCCTGAAATAGTTCCCCAGGGTGTGGTAGATGA